ATTATAACATCTGTAAGGTTCACTGACTTTACTCTAACCAACAACCCTATCTGGGATTGAAACATGTCACGTGGTGACAAACAGCTAACAAAGCGTTTGACTCCAAGTTATAGTATAAGCAATCTCAAATCCAACAAGCGTAAATGGAAGAATCATTTTCTTAAATTCCGTGCATTTATGTGAAACGGGTAAATATTGGCGATACTGTTAACAGTGCTCTGTGGAATTGAAGTTTCTAAATGCTGGGGGTAAGCTGTAGCGGACAAGTAGCACATCTAGGGGGAATATTTTATGGAATCCTGTCTTTCAGAAGCGCGCCAGAGATGATATCTCAGGGGCAGTACAGTCACGCTAGCGATGTGTGGTCATTCGGTGTCCTGGCATGGGAAATATTTGCAGTTTCATGATAGTAACATGATGCCACGACAAACGAGACCTTACTATAACCATAGAAATAACGAGGTAAAATTCTTTAGCCTTTAGGCGTCGGTGGGAGTAACGAAATAATTTGGATATAACAACAAAGTTGAAATGGTAAATTGGCCACTGTAATGATTACAAAGGCTGACGTTTCGAGCGTTAGTCCTTCGTCGGATCGAATGGGTAAGCTACTGGAGCGAATGGGTACTACTGGGTACTGGAGCGAATGGGTATTACTGGGTAAGCTAAGTCGATTCATTTGCGCCGCCGAATATCACTTCAGTTGAAACAACCAGAATTTATATTTGTTTGTAACCGCCAAACGGTAGAAATGACCGCACGACATGTACTTCGTTGATGCAAGGATTTGGGTAGAAATCTAACAGAAGTAGGTTTGAAAATTAATCCAACATTATTTTCCTGGAACACAAAATTCTTTAGACCTTTGTAGGGGCGTCCTTAGCGGCCGAAAAATTTCTTACTTCTTTGTCAAATTCAGCAGTAAAGCCTACGAAGTCTAGCGTTCTTTTGCAACCCTTTCTCCTTGGGAAAAATTTGTCGATTGAACCGAAAATCGCCGTTTATGATCCATGCGACTAATTACATTTCGCCGTCGGCGTCTGACATGGACATGGAAGGATACAAGGTAAAGATGCTTTGCGCAGAGGATGTGAAGAGTTGCAGTTGTAATGACGTATCAAAATCTCACCAGTGTTCACTTACCCCTATCTCTTGCATCTAGTAGAATGCATACAGAATGCAGTAGAATGCATACAGAATGCATACAGAATGCAGTAGAATGCATACAGAATGCAGTAGAATGCATACAGAATGCGGTAGAATGCATACAGAATGCAGTAGAATGCATACAGCAACTACAGAAATCCTCAAGCCAAAATAAATTTGGCAAAGTGACAGTTGATGCACGAACCAGATGTTAACAAATCTGTCTTTCTCAGCTGGCAGTGTTGATTGATACACAGGTTCAGGTAATCTGTCTTGGTCAACCCAAGCGTCTGACTCTAGGACCAGGTGAAGACACTAGCAAGGATAACGTGTTGCAAGAGGAAATGCCGCTTGTTTCTGCTCGCTGGTTAGTAACACTTAAAGTTGTGTAATTGATTTCTTTCTTGAACTCATGTCTACAGCTTATTCGCTAAATTTGATTTAGAGCCACGTCGTGAGACATACTTTCCAGAAGCAGTTGCAAAATAGCGGAGTTTATCTTTCTATCTGGGGTGAATTCTGTTGCATTCAACCCAAACATTATTTGAAGGTTTAAGGTCACCTCTTACCGTGGTCAGATCATTAATCTTAGAATTAAAGTGGATATCCTCCCTCCAAAAGAATCTAGAGGAAACGTTTGGTAGTCAGCCACATTCAGCGATATTTCCGTTGTTCATCTGGCTGCGGTTGTTCAAAGGGCGGATAACGCTATCAAAAGGATAAATCCAACGCTTGGATAACGCTATCCAAAGGATAAATCCAACGCTTGGATAACGCTATCCAAAGGATAAATCCAACGCTTGGATAACGCTATCCAAAGGATAAATCCAACGCTTGGATAACGCTATCCAAAGGATAAATCCAACGCTTGGATAACGCTATCCAAAGGATAAATCCAACGCTTGGATAACGCTATCCAAAGGATAAATCCAAAATGATCGACATAATTCCCGCCAAACGACTTCATGTTGAATGAAATCAAGAAATTCCTACTGGACTGTTATTGGGAAGTGGTGAATCAACATAGATCCATCAACTACGAACCTCGAAAATTCAGAAACCTGGTATAGATATTAAATGCCATCCTCTACTTGTTTCATGGAAATAAGGTAACTATCGAGGTATTGTAACAAAGGCTGGTAAAAAAAAAAAACTCTCGTACAAAGGATTTCGCTTAAACTGCTCCTATTACGAGAGTGAAAATGTCGATTGTATTTTCAGGAGGGCGCCAGAGGTGATTTCTAAAGGGCGGTACAGTCATGCTAGTGATGCATGGTCATTTGGTGTCCTGGCTTGGGAACTTTTTGCAGCGTTTTCATTTAGTGAAAACTTTACGGAGCGAATGCTCCCCCATCACAATCTTCCAGACCACGAGGTAACGTCTTGTACTGTTTTTCTAAACACCGCCGGAGAATGAACGCTGCTTGACTATAAGCTCAATTACTCAGTCACATTCACGAAAGAGTGGGTTACTTAGCTGCAAAAAGGGCCAAATACGATTTCTCCCCTTCCTACCTGTAAATTATTCGTTTTGTTATTGTAATTCAGAACGCCTTTTTATTGATTGTTTTTCACAGGTTGGTGCTAGTATTTTAGACAGAAAGCTTCTACAAAAACCGCGTTCCTGTCCAGATTGGATAGATATCATGATTCATGAATGTTGGACATATCAACCCCAGCAGAGACCACCGGCCATTGCGCTCTTAGATTGTCTGGCATGCAGGTAAGTCTGAATGTGTAACTGTAGCACAAGCGTTTCTCTACAGACTATAGAATAAAAGATGCACGGATGAACGTTCACTTTTCATTTAAAAAGTTTGCACGAGAGCGCAAACGAATAAAACACATGCTAGTATACTTAAAAGTACTTTTTTAAATTGAAAATTGCATTAAAAATCTTAAGATGATTGGCATTTTAACCCATGGTTAGCACTAAAATTGAGGACTTTCAACTCAAGTGTCATGCCTATGAATAGTAACCGCCATTTGCGCCGCAGTTATAAAGTTTACTTCTACAGTATAACATTACTTGTTATATAGAAGATTGGGTTCATTTTTCCCCTGGAAAAAGTCACCTGTTATGTTATGATGAATACGTTCACCAAATGGATCATGTTATGTTTCTAAACCTCCGTCGCAGTTTTGAATCATTGCTTATGAAGACTTTGTCTGTAATCATCGGCTCATAACTAACAAATCAGGCGAATAAAGGCTGATAGTTTCGAAAGAAACTGTTTGGGGCTGCGTTGGCGGGAGTAACGAAGTAATTATGTCAATAATAATTCATATCAACTTTGTTGATATATAACAAATTAGACCTCTGTTTCCCTCTCTGGCTGTTATTGATAGTCAATCTTTCGACATACACGGCTGGAATTGGACTTCGTTCGGTCCATAAATGAAATTTAAAGCAATAATATTCGTCGTAATAGTAATAATAATAANCTTCTCAATAGATATAACTATGTATGATGCACGATCCTTCGCAGTAGATAGCGCTATTTATGCAATAGCGAAAATCAGACCTGAAAGAACAATCAGGCCTGCATAAATAGCGCTATCTACTGCGAAGGATCGTGCATCATACATAGTTATATCTATTGAGAAGAAATCATATATTTCTAATTTTCTTAAGTTTTAGTTTATGAAGTACTGAATCAAACTATTGCTGTCACTGACAGAGGCAAATTGGACTGTGAGCAATTAAAGTAAAGTAGATAGTGACTACTTTTGTAGACAATACGACTCATTGATTTATATGATTTTTTTTTAGCTCCAGCGTTTTATCATCAGACCTCGAACTAATTGCAACAGATACCATTTCATCTTTAAATAAATGCAATAAACAGACATTTTTAACATACTTAAAGTCTTTAAAGATCTTTGCTGATTACCTCCTGATAGCGCCTACTATTAACTCGTCCTGTCCTTTCACTTAAGAAACCGGGCTACCAAAAGGGAAGTCGTCTAATTTGCGAGATTTCATCGAGAACGTTAGGGAGGAAAATCAAGAGTTATTATTTTCAATTAAAGGAATGGCTCTTTAGGGACCCTTTCCGCTGTCGTCCAATCTCGACTTTTGTGTTACAAAAGAAACGGTCTTCAAGTGCGGTGGTGCCAGGAAGGCAGTAATCTCGCCAACATTTGGGATGTACATGCTGCTCCGGGACGGTCTGGACAGTGTCATCGATTTATTACGTCGCACCCCCATTTCCAAAGTTTTGCGTCCCCTCCCTCGCCAACGAGACTCAGTTTCTTACAAACTTTACACAGTTAACTGTCTCCTCCATTTCGTTGTAATTCTGTTACAAAATTAGAGGCAAACGGAATCCCGTTAAATCACAGATTCTAATTCCACATTGTGATTTGAATCGTGTAACAGAAATATCAATTGAATACTTTCGAAGATGCGAAGCAGTGCGTGCAGTACAGACTAGTACAGGCATATCGTTTTGGCATGCAGATTTTAGATTGAGATTTAAGTCGGAAAGTGAGGATTTTTTTAAATAGAAAACTAATGCATGTGCTCACCTGCACTTTGTGTCTCTATGAACCACATTCTCAAGGACGCGAGTAGTATTAAATAACACTCAGGAACTTCATCCGCATACCCAGTTTTGTACTTTTTATTTACCTGTTCACAACTGGATTTTCAAATGGGCAAGTCTATATTCCTTTATGCCGCAATTGCGCAAATTTAACATGGAAACTTGGTCGTGACTCTTCGATGTCGTGACTCGCTGTGTTAGCTTGAAAAACGGACAATAGAAATCGCACGATCGTGCCTAAGAAAAGCGTTCGTATTATATACTTATGAACGCTGGTGTTGGTAAATAGAATTGCTTCAGACTGTTGCACCCCACGAAAGAAAAAAAACGGCCGAATGCTTATGTAATCTCGGATCAGAAATAATCAAGAGAACATCATGTGTCTTTTAGGAGCTCAACCATATTCAATAGCAGAGGTACAGAGATTGCCATGGATGGGAAGAGAACAGCACATGACGAGGGGTGTCGTGCTCAAAAGAGAAGAAACTAACGCAGAATGGTTGCTTTCCCATAATCAGTCCATTAATAGTGCTCAAACAAAGTATTTAGGAATGATTCTGAGGTAAGTGCCAGTCATCGAAAGAAGAAAAAAAAAAAACGAAAACAAAACCACGCACGCACGCACACACACACAAAGTATAAATAAAATGAAAACAAGTAACAAGGAAGACTTTGAAGACAGCAAAGACTTTTAATACAATAACTAATGTTATTCCGTTCACACGTACAGTCAAAATGTCAGCTATACACGTTTAATGTTTACCAAAACAATAACAATAGCAATTATAAAATCTTCCACAAGTACACAATTTTCAACTCCGTTTAACTTCTGTATGAAACGAAAACTAATTACCTCTCGAAACCTCTACTTCTTTGATATTCTTCACTGTAATTTCCACTTAACTAAATCGCAAGCTGAGCACAGGCAAATCAATCTAGTCCAGTAAATTTACCTTGTAAACACCAAAAGTCGATTTCTTACTTTCCAGCAAAAGAAGTTTAATTCTCGTCCCCTTACAAATAAAGGAAAATTATATAAAAAAGTATTTTCCTGGGCAATATTCGACTCAATTGTACCTGTTCACGAAATAACATATATGAAAGTGCGCTCAGTTAGGGGCTTTCAGTTTCGTTGCTTCTTACATTAGTTTAACACCGATCAGTTGATTAAAATGCCATCTAATGCCTACTTGAAATCATTCCATTAAATCACTGAGCCGACCAAACTCTTAGATCACACATGCGTGGGCTGGATAAGTCTAAACGGTCATCTCATCAGTGCACTACTTCAAGAGATACGATGGTTGGGCTGTAGGCAGAATAACGACAAATCTTGAAGATGGTACTAGAAAACTGCGGAGAGAGAGAGAGAGAAACAAAGATTATCATTGAGCGCTACCGCTTCCCGGTTAGCTCAATAGATAGAGCGCTGAACTGTTGTGCGGGAGGTCGGGGGTTCGAGCCCCGGCCGGACCAACACTCAAGGTCTTAAAAAAAAAAA